TGGCTGGTTTCGCAGTCAAATAACTGTATAAACGGAAGATAACTTTAAACATAATTTTGGAAAGATTTTCCTAGAAACCCCTTGTTATTGTCGTAATTGCTGATAGAACCTTTGGGAGTAAGTCGAAATGACGCCAAGAAGAATCACTTCACTTAATGTAGATTAATTTAATAGGTGAGGTGCAACCACTCGTGCTACTTAGCGCACCATCAGTTACGTCTTCAAACACGTAAGTAATAATGAATTGAAACTAATACATTAAAAACATTTACATGAAAAAATGAAAACTAAACAGACGTGAAGTGCCGGAAACTGGTTTTTATTCACAACTGTAAAGAGTTATATTCTTAGTTTTCATTCAACCTGAAAGGTCCTGTCAGCTATTATAATTATATTTTTTTCTTCTGGTCGGTTTTCATGTAATTGTTCCGTTTATGAAGAGCTTATTTCCATAGTACAACTTTTCAGGATGGAAAAATGTTCACAGTCAACCTTATGGGTCAATGGTTTTAGATTCATCGATACCGTTTAACGTGGAACAAACACAATTCTTGAACGCAATATTTGGCAGCATGATGGAGAAGTGTCTTAAGAATTTATTATTACTTAAAACTGGAGGAAAATGGAAATAGACTTTTAAAATTAGCTCTTCAAAATTTTGACCGCTTTTTTCGAAATCCGGAGCATAGTGCGCCGCAGCGGGTGTGCGTTCGTTCGTTGGGCGATCGCCGCCGCCGCCGCCACTGCCCCTTCCTCTTCCCTCCCCTCCCCCCTCCCCCCTCTTCTCTACGCCTCGGCCCCGAGGGACAGCCGGGCAGCTGAGCGTTAATTAAAACAGAAGAAGAGCGCGTCTCGCCTCCTACTACGTCGATCAATAGCCATGCAAATTTTCCTCTCTCGACTCGCATCGGCTCGCGTCCCGTGCTTCCTTTTTTCCCTCTCTCCCTCTCTCTTTCTGTCTCGTGCTCCTCTCTCATTGTCGGCGTCACCCCCAGACGGCTACCAAGTGTCCAAATATTAATTTCGCCATTATTAATATTCAATGTTGCAACCTCCATGTCGGGATGTGCGTTTGCAGTAGCATGTATAGTGGGCCATCAAAGTTATACAAAGAGCGTAATATTAATAAAAGCGAGATGAAAAACCGCAGGTCTGCTGTGATCAATATTTGATGTAGACTATACCAGATTGATTAGCATGATACGTGTTACAATGATTTATTCGTTCTGCTTATTATTGAAATCATTGCAAACTGCAATATTCTGACTTCGAGGTGTTCAATTTTTATAACTTTTGAGCATGGAGGTAACGGTAAAAGTGTAAATTTGCATTTACAAGTGTAAAATAATTCATTATCATTTGAGTGTGAAGAATTGTGACCCGAGCAAAGATAGGAGCGGGTGATTGCAATTACCACGAGGATTGCAACGTACTAAATGTCCGATTCCGTGTCTTTTATTCCTACATTTTCTTCATGCTTTCACTAAGAAAACTGTAAAGGATCGTAAATCATCGAAAACAAGGTCCACGATTTTTTTATTCCAAAAATGTATTTTATGCGTCCATAGACTGCTGAATCGTGTTCCCCTTTTGCATATTTCATTAGACTTTTAATCTTTGAGAAGTATCTAGCCTGAAAAGTTGAGCAATATTTTGCATGGTGTGTTAATTCACGTATGTCCACCATGATATGTTCTGACTGACTGATATATTATACTCACCTAACCCGTGGCAGGTGCTAGGGCAGAACTAACTGTGAGAGTGGGTACGCCTAACCGCACGGAGCAAAGCTGCCTTCTGCCGTTACCGCTATTTTGTTGCTGGTTGGATGGTGCTGGCTGAATGACGGGTGGTGATAATAATGATAATTGCTTGAGACTGGCGGATTAGTAAACTGTCCTCCCTTCCTGATGTTTTCAAAAAAAAGTTAATAAATAAAAAATTAAAGGCCAATGCCTTAACATTGAAGATACAACAAAACGTCTTCACTGAGATTGTTGTGTGTGCCGTTTGCTGTATAGGTGCACCAATGAGCAGCCCTGTTCGCTCGCAAGCTCTCTCGCTTCGTCGCATCACCACCATCACCTTCACCATCGCTACAACCATCACCATCACAACCATCAGGCGAGCCCTCACCAGTCGTCTGGTCTAGCGTGTGAAACTCACGCTCTTTTGTTTGGACTTGTTAGCTGAACCCGCGACAAACAGTGAGAGTGTGTCTTTCTACTTGTTATGTGTCATCATTTGTTTCAATTTAACTTTTTCTATAAGCAGTACATAAGTACATAATAATCAAGTGACAATCAGAACAGTGCAACTGTGCGTTTTGAGACAATAACTTTATTATTGTTGTTTGTTTTGTTGATTGTGTTACCATGCTCAAGTGGACATTGAATGGTCGTCAAGTAGACTGAGAATTCATGAAAATTATAAGCAATATTGTATACGCAGACAATGTGGGGTCGAGTTAGTACGGCGTGTGGGAGATACTGCTCTCCGAGTGACAGTAAACGTTCAGGAATCATCTTTACATAAAGTAAGCAAGTTGCAGAAAGCAAGAAACATACTAACAAAGCTAACTGCAGACGCCTTGTGATACTAGCCCTGTCTAGTATGCTTTAGATAATATTTTTGCCTATCGTTAAGAAATGCTAGGTATTAATTGGTTAATACTTGATAACATATTTTTAAAAGCATGAAACTTTCCAACTTATTGTAAATTTGTGTGCCAGAATATGGGTGATCTCATTGTGCATGAAGTGATAAAAAGCGGAGAGTTGTGTTATGTGCATGAAGATGTGCGTGTGTGTGTGTGAATTTATTTTTAATGATATCTAGTTGTATTGCAAGATTATATGTAAAAAAATTAGTCATAATAGAGAAGGCGGTTTATTTTTTGGTGCACGCTGTAGGAGTTATTTCTGAATATCGTTGTCAAGAATTCTTCCATTTAATTATATGGAATTGCATGATTTTGTTCGTTGTGTACTGTATGAGTGTGGTTATAATGTATATAGTATCTCAGACCTCTGTACGCTAGATAACTTCCGTAACAGTTCCCCATAGAAAGTGCTTAGCTTGAAGTAAATACTCAGGTAAGAAGCTAAATAGTTCTAATACAATCCAAAATGCCCACTTATTTGCTCCTCTTCCATAACTTAGGAGCTGTTTTGTAATTTTTATTTTGAAAATTATGCTTGGACTTAGAACTGACTGTATATCAGGCCTTTGCTTCTCCGTACATCTAATTGTGACGAGACGGGTAACATATAATACCCCATGCAAGACGACATGTATTCATCAGCTCTGAAACCTATGCGGCAAGCTTTCTGTATGTGTGAGTGTGTGTACAAGTGTCGGGGCAGGGTTCTGTAAGTTGATCGACGCAACAAGGGTCAGGCAGTGGCGTCGCTTTTGTGAGTGTCCCCTGGATTGGAAATATATAGTGTCACCTCTATTGTCTTCCCTGTTCCTTGATTCAGCCATTTCTTGAAGCAATTTTCCAACATCTGACAATGCGCTTAGAAACGTCAATACAGCCTAATTTTACTTGCACTCTGTAGACAAGTTATGTACTTTCAATAAGAGACATGTTAGATGTTTCATTTTCCCAACGTAGATTTTAGTGTATAAATTGTAGTTTTTTTTTTGTTTTTTTAATTTCCAGTAAAGTTACAAGTTTATCCCTTTCAAATGGTTACATTCGTTCAATTCTTTAAACTATTTCAAAGATAAAAATAAAAATTGATGTGTGTTTCGAATTTTGGTCACCGTATAATAGGTGGTTGATGGGACAACACACCGGCCCATATCACTTTTGTGACGTGGTGAACCATTTGTTATGATATAAAAGAATGATCATCAATCACATTAAAAATACATTTATCAGAAGATAATAGCCCTCGTGTCTACGAAATGCTGAAAAAAATACCAAAAATGTTACATAGCTGAATTGAAATGTCTTAGGCTTATTTATGACAGCCTTCATATTTGATTTTTCCCATTACAGTCCCTGCTAAAGACATATTTTTGGCCAAACCCCATTTTTTGTAACATTCTCTAGCCAAACATTCTATATCCGTTCCCCTGTTTTCGTGTTGCCAGATATTTAGTAACTTAACTTGCGAGAAAAAAAGTTCCTTAAAATAGTTTTAATACATCATGAACCGTTGTCATGGAAATAATTAATAATTACGTAAAAATCACAATAAAACTAATTTTTTATAAAGTTAAAATTTATTGTTAATATTAAACGTTTTTGTCCCTAATTATTAATCAATTTTTTGTAATTATATATTTTTACAATATATAAAATTTACTACCTATTATTCTGTTGGTTACGATTTTCTATAATGTTAATAGTTTGAATTTGATTATAAATTATTTTTCATTTTCACTTACAAACTTCTTTCTTCTTCGTCTTTCAAAATATACAATTTTAAATCGATTTTTAAGGATTTTATTTATTGGTTGAAAATCTAGACAATTATATCAAATAACCATCACAGACGCCCTCCCCCCAAAACAAAATTAATTAGTAACCCCCCCCCCCCAATCTGCCATACTACCCCGATAATGCGTTCAAAGTCAGTTCTAGTAGTGGATCTATTGGGTAAGGAAATAAAGACCATGCGCCGAAAAATGTGTTCCAAAATTCGCCAGAATCCAACAAGAAGGAAATGAAAACAATCATATCAATTCGGTTATTCCACCAAGAATAATTCGCAATATCGTGCTACCTATAATGTGTAACGGCATTAATCCTTAACCCATTATCTCCCTCCAATGGGTTAACCCCCTCCAAAAGCTCCTAACCAGAGAAGACCCCCCCCCCCCGAATGAAATGCGGAGATACGCCCCTGGCTGGTGCGCCCTCGCCTTGGAAGGCGGAAGGGTGGGACAAGGGCAGGGGCGGGGGCGACAGCACCGGCCTCGCGACGCGGCGCAAGGCGGGTGGGGGCGCTTGCTGAGTGAGGGGGGTGGTGTGCTGTTGCTTGCAGGCGGCTGGTCACGTGACCCCTAAGTCGGGCTCCCCTCCTCGGCCGGGCTCGGGTGGGCCTTGGAGCAATCCGCCGGGCCCGCCGCCGCCCCGAGAGCAGATCCCCGACTTCCCGCCCGTGCAGCCGCTGCACGGCGAGGACGACGACAGCGGCGACAGCAGCGACCCCGAGTCGGTCAAGCGCCAGAAGCTCTAGGAGCGACCACCGACGCCACCGCCGCCCGCACCGCTATGAGACCGCACCACAAAGCAGCAGCAGCAGTAGCCGCCGCCGCCGCGGCCACGGACAATCTGTGGATTGGCGGACTTTTGACAAGAAGGACGGGGGCCCTCGCACGCACATCACATCTTCCTCGAAGAGACTAGTGTTGATCAAGGAGCTGTGATAGATTGGCTGGCAAACCCCTCCCCCCCCCAAAAAAAAAGAAAATGGCGTTTACTTACATAAACGTGTGTGTGAAACGAAGAAAACTATAAATCGCAGAAAAATTAATAGATAAATCAAACAAAAACTAAGAAACAAAACAAAAGAACACCCTTTCCAAGGAACGATTGATGTGTGAGTTTGCACTGTGCAGCTTCTGCCCTTCTTGTCATCTGCCAAGCCTCCACACTCGAACAACGAAAAAGCGCTGACCCTTAGAAGGAGCGCTCATGGAGCAGTGGAGCCAGGGAGACGTTATACCTCCATGTTTCTAATTAAGCCTTTGTGGCATGACTTATGAAAAAAGAGTCCTGGCTTGTTGTTTCTGATCGTATTGTGCGCACGTTTCGAAGCATTTGCTTCCAGCTTCTAGAAAGCCATATGAAAGTTCCGCAGTGTTTTTAAATCACTTTGTTCATCCTAATTCCAAGAGGAGTAAGAATGATCACTATTTCAACAGCCCCTCTAGAACTGCTAGCCAAGAAAACAGAAGAAGTGACTTTGGCTGGCCAGTTAGACAGTTTGCCTTACAGTGGAGACTTTTTGTCTATTTTCCCCCTGGGTCCTTTGCATCCCACTGCTGGTTGTAGGATGAATCGAATCCAGCAGATTATAACTTCTGTTACCGAGTGGCTAACGGTGCCCTGTCTTCATGCTTGCACAGCCTGTCTTGTAACAATGTATACGATTATTTGATACGAAGATACTCTAAGCACCATGCGTCATTGCTGCAGTGGGGCCCGATGCCTACCAGCCTGGCCTGTTGGCAGCGCTCTTGAGGAGAGACAAAAAGGTGGGGTTTCAAAAACTTTGGCTTTGGGACTTTCCATGAATCATGTTATGTTTAGTTGAGGGCATGCGTACAGTCAGAGAAATTTCATATGTGAATATTCAGAGTTCAAGCACAATTTTATAAATAAAATTCACTCCCAAGTGGAGATGAACTGGTCAGGTTGTGTGGGCATAGGGCGAGCAGGGAGGAGACTTGACAAGAGTCCTGTAAAGTATACGTTCAACCTGGGTTCTTGCCCTTCTTCTTGCCTTGGACTTTACTGATACTAATCCTTTTCTGAGCAGCAAGCTGTGTAGCTGCAGTGATCAAAGTAGTTTGGGGAACAAATAACACTGAAAGGTGGTTTAGGGTGTGGGTTGTATTCTGATCTGTAAATCAGATGATGTTACCAAGAATGTGTCTTGGTGAAAAATAAAAAAAATAAGAGCTTGGAGCGTCACACTGCAATAAAGATTAAACACTCTATTTTATTCTTTTAATGCATATATTGTTGTGTTGTTGCTTCTTAACTTTAATGTAGAATAGAATGATTGCCAGAGGCAGCTGCTAACCTGCTGTGTGACGACCAGGCCTACAGTGTGGTGCTTGATTGTCAATAGAGTGTAGAGATTGGCTTATGCCTTGCAGGAGGACGATTCTCCGTGACAGGTGACGGCTGGCAACGACTGACAAGCATCCTGGCTGTTCAGGTTTGATCATACACCAGTATACTACACAACTACTACTACGCAAGCAACTTTTGTACCTTTTGTAGCTCTGAAGGCCTAGGAGGCCATTGTGGCTCTCAGCCATGTTTTCTGCCCAGTGCCCTGCTGCTCACAAGAATAAATGGCAGCTCATTTTTGATAAATGAAAAGTAGCAATATGGGTTAATATGTGATGCACTAATGTGCAACAGATATTGTTACATGAGCTAATATGTCAGCCTAATACTGTTTTTTAAAACTGAATTTAATGTTATCTTTCAATATTATTTTGTATAAATATTTCTTTTATGTCTCTTCCAAGCATTTTGTAATAATAGTTATTAAGGCAACAGTAGACAATGGCTCTGCATTATACAACCTCCAGAGCAGAATTTTAAGACATACTTCAGTGCAAAACGTTTATTGAAAAGTGTGATGTAGTACAATAAATGTGAATACTGTTAATTTTTAATTGCCATGCATGTCCAGCTCCGTGCTGTTCTTAGAATTAAGAATGGAATGAACTTTGCATGGATTATATGCCTTTTGTGTTTTTTTTTTAGAATAGCACAACTTCATGATGTGCCCACATGTAATAAAACATTGTGGTTGTTTGGTTAGAGAAGCCAACTTGCTGCAACTGAGAGTATGATAAGTTAAATCTTTGGTGTTTTTTAGTATACTAGGTTGTAATTCTTGTCTTATGCTTTGTTCTTTTTACTAAACAGTTATTATACATGTTCTGTCCATAATGAATATATAAGATAGTTTTAATACACAAGCACATGCATATTAGCAGCTATAGGGGCAAGGGTACTAGCAGGAAGAGGCAATTCTACTGAAAGCCTCAAGTGCTCCTGTGTTATCTATCTCTTCTTTTTGTTTCATTTCATTGTGTTACTGTAGCAGTGTGCGCAGTGGGAAAGTACTGATGCATTCAGATATACGAAAAATGATGATCTGCTACAAAGCCAAGTTGAGGAAGCAGGCATCCACACTACTTACTGGAACTCAATCCCCCAAGAATGTATACGATTTTTCAATATCAAATTATAGATATTCTATACTTATATACTAAGATTAACTAAGATAAATAAATCCTGTATGTACTTATTTTGTTTCACAACACACTAGTACACAGTTGAAATGTGATGTCAGTTGTTATTCACCAAGCCATGTTAGAGAAGACAATGCTCTTGTGCAATTCAGTTTTTTAGTAGAAAGAATTTTTCTTGACAAATGTGTAGTATATAGCTAAAAGTAAGTATTCTAATGCTACAAAAATTTATATTGACTTGATGCAAAGTCTATAGTTGTTTAATTTCTGCTACAGTTCCATTGTTAGATGGATATAAAAGGAAGACAAAAAGTTTTCCATCTGGGCAATAACATTACATGTTTTCAAGATGCACAATAATGGAGAAAATTTTAAGCAAGCTCTTTTTAAGCAAGTGTTTTAGTACTTGCTACATAATAAGGGTTGTAAATTAGAATATTGTAGGCTTTTTTCTTCATTTTTTCACTACTTCATGAAATGTATTTTTCTTGTCATTCACTTTATTGAAATTGAAAAATTTGAGCAGTATGTCAAAGTCACATTGAACTACAGATGATAAATATATCCTAATAATGGAACTGGGCAGAAATTCCTTCCAACAAAGTTATTAGAGATTTTTTTTAAATACCTTTCTATTTTGAAGCTCAATGCAAACCTCAATATTGAAAATATTTTAAAGAATCTCATTTTGCTGTATGCAATAGAAGCTTTGGAAAATTAAATTAGTTGGTTGGTAATTTGTACAGATTTCATAATAAGAATGGTTGTGTCACGAGACAGTGTATCCACAAATACAAAGCAAGTAATATATTTTCACTGTTTGCACAGCAAATATTGTTATTAAACTGTCTTTTTGATATCATGTACAGTAAATGTGTTCATGGTTTCTCCCAGTAGAGAGCAGATACAAGCTGCCATGGAGTGAATTTAATAATATAATTTCAAATCATTGTTTAATTTTTAATGCATATGTATATGAGTGATGAAAAGTACATTTTAATTAATCATATGCAGCAATGCATGTCTCAGTATACGTCAAGAACAAACGAGAGTCCAAGTATATTTGTCCTCTTTCATATTCATGTACACCTAGGGACTGGAAAACTGAACTGCAAACTCACATTGGACTTTATTAATATATCTTTTTCATGCTGTCAAATCTAGTGTAGTAAAATAGCATCAGTTTTTCAGTCTCTGCAAGCTAAAATATTAGAATTATGGAAATATATTACAGAGAATGGGTATGATTTTTACGAAGAAAGTGTGATGATTGTCAATTCTGACACATACAAGCAACAGACTTTTCCTTGTCTTCATGTACTATTGGCATCTGTATGTATTGTAAATTTATGCAGTTTTCAAAATATAATAATGGATGTTGAAGAGCTTGTTAATGATGTATTCCTTCATTAATCCTGTCCTTTTCCTCCTTTTTGAATACGTGTTTAGTTTAATTTAAAAAGCAATTTTTATTTAAGCAAGATGTTATTAACATTTCTTCCTTGATTAGGAAATCTCTGAAGAACTTTGTTATGGATCCACAGAAGAAATTTCCAAACTTCTGGCATTGTTCTTAATTATCTGCCTTTCTTAATTTGCTTATTTTAGAACTATTTCATCCTTCCAGTTGCTTCCTTTCCTACTCTGTAGTTTTTCTTCGCCTTTTTTAAGGTTTTAAGTTATACATCTTTATGTGTGTACTTGACCTATTCATGAACTTTTACTATCTTTAGAATTTATTTCCAATTCTTGAATTACATTGCCAGAAGATCCATATTAAGAGAAGTCATTCTTCCTTTACGAGTATTTTCAACTGTTACCTATATGATTTTGTCATAATTCTACCTTCTTCTGTCTCAATTATTCACTCTCTCAATTTGCTCTAAACTACCCAGCCTCCAATACCTACTTTATTTTTTGCATGATGATCATATTTTCTGTAACCTAATTAACTTTGTCATTTGCTTTAAGACTTCAGATTTTATCAATTTATTTGGGTAGGCCAAACATATTTCTTAATTCCTTCTTCTCAAAAGCAGTTCGTGCAATTTTCTTTCTAGAACATACATAACTTAGATTTACGTATTACTGGCTTGATTGTTGAATTATATAACAAGAATTTTGATTTTCTTGTGAAAATCAAACATTTTGATTATTATGAAATGATATTCCTATTACCTGCTGCTCTCCTGTCTTTAACCACTATAATTTATGATATTAACAGCTTTGTATTTAATATTTTTTCAATGTTAAGTTGTATATTTTTCATTATTGGTTTCAAGTTTACAAGAAGGGCCTACCATTTTCTGGTCATTGCTGTTGAACCTCAATCATTTAAAATATTCTATTATCTTGAAATTTATTAGCAAGTTTAACTTTAAATTATTTTTCTGTTATATCCAGATTGACTTATAGCATGACTCTTCCTTGCAATGATTGTCATCATCTGCTGAAAATATTTTTTTCTTGCCTAACCTTCTACTACTGTTCGATTGAAAAATTAAAATTTGCATTACAAAGTTCCAGCTTTGATTTGGAAATGTTTGTTAGATTATTATTCATTGTAACTTTATTTTATTTCATTACTCGAGTTTAGTCTAGACTGTCAGACCCTTCATAAGAACAGCAAATGTTGGTTACTGTTTAAATTTAAATTCTATCAAATGATTGTTTCAAGTTTGAAAAGATGCTAAAGATGTTACACATTTCAGCCTTTTTCTTAATGTTTTAGCTTGAAATAATGTCACTTAGTTTTACTATGAAGTATTAATTCTCATTAGTTGGATAATTACTATGTATAATAGAATTCATTTGTTTGTTAAAAAATTAAGAGAGCTTACAAGAAAGTTGATTTGTCGTCTTAGGTACTCTTAAAGAACAATGTAAATGAATTAGTTCTTTGTTAACATAGTGTTAAACTTGTTAATATACCAAGAAAATATTTTCTTGTCATATTTTTTTAAGATGAAAATTGTTTTATTTGCGAGTTAAGATAAAGAAATATCTGGCTTTAATTTTAGAGTTTTCAGAACGGTTTGAAAAATATTTGAACTTTTCAAAATTAAGGTTTTGAGTGAAAATTGTTAACTTTACTACGTTTATAAATACATTTTCCTCTATTCAAGCCAAAAATAAAAAAATGAAATTGCAGTCATTTATCTTATTATTTTTTATTATAAAGCTTCATATAAAGTACCCTTAAAAATTAAATTATCTGCCTTTCTCCTCCCTATCTAAGAAGAGCTTTAACAGAACAGACGTGAATGGCGATTCTCGTTGATTTCGTGTTCTCTCTCGTCCTCTCTCTCTTTTTCTTTTCCCAATCGTTGCGGTTAAAAGAGAGATTCTACGAGTATTGTCCCTTACAAAATAATTCAAGTTTAATTTGAGATGTTCTGTAACAGTTCATTAGAATTATTATTCTCTGATTGAAGATTCTTATTTTAATTTATTTATTATTAAATTATTTTGTTGTATTGAATATAATAATCAGTCGGTCTTGTCATTCATTTTCTTGATATATTGTTTTTAAAAATCGTTGCGGGTTTTACGCAACACGTCTCTAGTCCTTTGTGACCACTGACCACTTGTACATTGGAGTAATCCTCCATTAAGATATTTGTCGTTTGTCTCGTAACGTCGCAATCAGTCGATGCCTTTCATCCCGTCGGTCAGGGGCTCGGCGCCGTTAGTAACAGGCGTTCCTGGACAGTTATCCATCCGGGTGGTGTCTCGACTTGCTTAACTTCACGGAGCGTAGTAAAGCAATTTTGCTAACGACGACGGCCTTTGCGTTAAATATTAAATTTTATTATTTATTTGAGTGTTATGAAAGAGTAAAACATTAAGAACAGATTATTGCCTCTCAAAAGACAAAAGTTAATAAGTTATGATCAATCTAAATTGTCCTAATGAAGTCAATATATTCACGTAAATTATTACGTTACTATTTATTTTTTAGAATTAACCCCAAATTTAAACTAGATATGCTGAAAAGCGCATACTTTCTCGCATTATTGAGAACGGAGAGAATAATTGAGAACATCCTTTTCAAAATGAAGCTCCTGATTTTTGTACCGGCGTCGATTTGTCCTGTGTTGAGTCTGAGTATATTAGTAGGTTAATAGCTTCTCGATCACTCAGTGACCATGCGGTCTAGGTTTCTCTGTCCCTCTTTGGTGTTTGTACAAATGAAATGTTCAAGAATAAAAATGTTTATACCTGAAGAATGGATGTACACATTTTATCAGAATATTTTTACACGTTTGTTTTCAATTATTTATTTTTTTAACAATTTAATTGACTAAAGGTAAGCTCTTATATTTTCTTGAGTCTCATTCTGACAAATCTTTTATGAATTTTCTATCCATTTCAAGATCTTCTATATTGTAATTTCTTTTAAAACTTTTTTGTTTATATTTATTCCTAGAATCTGAACTAGAATTGATTGACGGCAAAACATCTGTGGTCAACGTTAGCGACAATACCGTTGTGCCAATTTCCCTCATAAATTGATATTCTTCGATTGATTTAAGGAACTCGAGACCCTCTTGAGTTTGAAATGGATATTTTGATTTTGGGGGTACTTTACATGAAGCCTCAGCATTTTTAAAACTTTCTAAAAAATGGCCCCAAACTTTCTGATTAAGTATTGTCCTCCGATAGCGCAGAAAACACAAGAATGGCGCAGGTCACATATTTGTTGAAATCTCGTTTTTTTTTTTTTTTTTTTTTTTTTTTGCGTGAAATTAGCCAATTTTTAATCAACTACTTTATCAAAATCGGCTCCATGTTTTTATATTTTCTTCCCGTTTGTCAAAGAACCGTAAAAAAATGTGTTTGTCCCATTTCCAACAAACTCTGCATTTTCGAAAATTGTAAACATTTATCATTGCAAAACTACAAATTTGAAAATAAATGTATTTGTATTAAATAAAAGTTGTTCTAATAAGTCATGTCTTTAAACAAGATCGAGCAAACAATTTTTTTTAATTTGCGAAATTTCTACTTGAAGTTGATACAAGTTATAAAAAAACGTTTTATCAAAAACCGCTTAAAAGAATGGTGATAGGTCTCGAGTTTTGTTGAACTATCCGAGTTTCCGAAAATGTGCTGAAGTCCAAAGTACAAATAGTGCGAGAAAGCATGTGCTAATGTAGCCCCGTTAGGTTTTCTTATCTCACATGTCTCATTGCAAATGTTATATCCTCAATAGACATTAACACCCTTAACGATACGTAAGCGAGTTTTGGAATTCCCGAATGCTACATGGTAATTTAGCCGAGAATGCTAGAACACTGTCCGCTTCTGTAATGGACGTATTGTTTCAAGCCATTCGTTGGTAGAAAAGGTTTTTCCCACTCGTCTTCTTTGTTCTTGGAATCTTAACACCTCATTTTCCTACAAAAGGTAAAATATCAGATACCGTTATTTACATCCGGACGCCTCATTTACTGCACAATTTGTAAATATCCAATGCTACAAAAGCTAGAAAGCACCTCAATAATTTCTTCTGTTTGATTAATTTAAAAACTCAATTCATATTGGCACATCATGTGTGAAAATTATAGTCTTCCTCAATTTCATGAGAGAATATCAGGGGCGAGACGTCCCGTCATCTATAGATGCGCGGATGGCCAAAAAAGTCTAAAAATGAGGTAATTCAAAATTTTAGAGAAAGATTGTAATTGGGAAAAAATCTACATATTTTACTGGTATTAGTAAAAAACAACTGAAAAATTGCCGTGAAACACGTGTTTGAATCGCCAATATTAGAGCATCGAATTGAGAGCTCACCGCAGCGCACGGTGACTCATTACATGCAATAATCATTCATGTAATGAATAATTAGCGCATGAAATAATCATTATGACTGCACGTAGTAGAGAAATACACAAACAAATTTGTGTCAATTGTGATTTTTTACAGTTTTGGGTAACCTTAAATACAAACTCTTTGTTTACAAAATACAAATTATTATTCATTATTTTGATCTTCTATTATAATATGAATTTCAAGAACATCACAACCCTTAATTTTTCCCATAGCTTTTACGCAATCTACTCTAGCTTCCCAGGCCAAAACGGTAAGTTTTCTAGAGAGCCGAGACCGGAACCGAAGAATTTCTTCTCGCCAATTGTTTCCCAAGGAACGCAGGTAAGCAGGCAATCCAATATTTTAAAAAGTAGTTATGGGTCTTCTTTCTTATGGTAACGAGCACAAAGAAATCGAGTCACTTCCGATAGCACAATGACGAACAACGGGCTCGAGAGTGGAATGGCATATTTAAAACCTCATGATTCTGCCATCGGCTACCGAACGGTGTACACCTCGTCCGCTGCTTATCGCTCCGCAGTATTACCTCGATTGTGACCAGTGATAAG